CGAGAAAATCCCTGCAGAGTAGGGGTATCAATCAAAAACATTGAATAGTAAGCAAATCCAAGGATAATAGCAGTTTGGCCAAAGACTCGACTCAAAGAGTCCCTCCTCACCTCCCCAGACGTCCGTCTGATGAACGAGCGCTTTTTTTTTTGTTGTTCATCAATCTCCGTTATCAGCTTCGAGCCGTAAAAACCCTCAAATAGAAGCGAATGACGTGAAGGGCACAATTGAAGGGCTCAATGCTGAAGCAGTTGGGAGCAGCTTTTCGGTAAGGTTTCTGGACGGTATTCCCAAATCTCTTGATGCCCACCTTGAGGAAGATCATTCTTTTAGCTGCAAGGGACGCGAACTGAAGGACTACGTTTCTTTGAATTCGCTCTTCGACACTTAAAAGAACACGTAAAATATTGCTGGGGTGAAAAATGGCTCCACAGGAAATCTATCTTATCGAACATAGAAATTCAAATAGAAAAAAAAATACGAGGTAAGGGATTTGGTGGTGAAAGCTGCCCTGTAGAGAGGACTACTGCAGCCAGAGAGGTTCGCCTTCTGGCTTCGCAAGGCTCCCCAAAAACAATGGAGCGCATTTGAACATGGAATGAAAAAAACGAAGGAGTGGTGTGACGCGAGGTGGATTCATCCAAAAGGGCAGGGCGATATATCTCCAAGAAGATGTCGCCCAACAAATCACGTCACAGAAGGTGGAAGCATATAATCTCGGGCGAAGTCACGTAGTTAAGAGAAGTGAACGGCTGTCAAAGATGCAAGAGGTTCATTGTGATGGTAGTAGCCAAGATTCAGGAAGTGTATCAGAAACTGGAACGCCTCTTCCTGGACATCCCTCTTTTGGCTGACTGAAGACTGAAAGTACTCTAAATGTAAGGGTGCATACAACTGGGCCCCAAGGGTCGAAGTCGCAAGGCACTAGAATGATGCAGGGATAAAATTTTCATAGATTGATGGATTGTTTGAGAAAAGTTTGAAACTGTCTAGGGCATTCCTCGATTCGCAACTGTTCACCCTGAGCACTGCTCTGGATGGTGTACAGAGAAAATGCTACTCCAGAACAAGCGGTATTCCCAATTAGGAGGGAATGTCCCCAAGGTGCACCTCTCATTGCCTGACTGAAATATTGGTTCGCGTCCGCACCCAAAAATCAGCTTTGAGACTGTTCTTCTGAATAGTCGAGGGGGTCGAGTATTATCCTTTCTGGCACCTGAGGATGTCGGGTGATCGACTCCCCAATTATTGCGGGTACCCGGTTTTCTCGTCCTTATTAACTGTGAGTGCAAGAAGTTCTTCTCCCTAATAAGAGTGGGTACAGGGTAATGTGAAGACACTAGATCGAATAGCAATGGTAGCCGGCTAGGAGGGATTAAAGACCGTCCGGTGTTCACTAGCGATGTGGCTGGTGACCCTAACATGGAACGAGCAGCCAAGGCGTGAACTTGTTGTGCTGAAAGAAAAATCACTTGGGTAATGAAGTGATGTGTGTTACACGAGCTGCAGAATGTACTCTGCAGGTGGCTCGTAAGGTGACACATTTCTCTTCTGCGGGAATCCCCACCCCTGAGTGGACGAGTCGTCGTTGCACGGGTGACTAGCGACTAAATATGATCAGACAGGATAAGAACGAAAACGCAGCAAGGGCAGAACATCTAGCAAGGGCAAACTAGTAATCCCATCGGTTTCTACGTGGTAGCAACAAGTCAGAACCTGTTCAAGTCTGAAAGCTTTCCTGCTCTTCTCGCCCATTCTTTCGAAAAGGCGGCGAAGGCAGCGGAAGGATCGTTGCAGAGGGACTGGTTTGTACTTTTACTACCT